TCATCCATCCATCCATCCATCCATCCATCCATCCATCCATCCATCCATCCATCTTTGCTCCAGTGGTTCAGCTGAGTCTTCCCCTCCCTCCAGTTCCCTCCTTCCCTCTCTTCAGTGCCTCGACAACAAAATGCCATGGCACAGCGATGGGAGGCCTCCCTACTAGCCAATCAGAAGAAGTAAGCAACGGTACTGCTCAGCTGTCAGACATTGTAAAAGCCAAAATGAAGTCCCCTGCCTGTTTCTTCCTTTGTTCTGCTCTCAGTCGGTCCCGTGTATCAGCAGCCAATGTGTTTTACAACATGTGTCAGAGCTATGGGTTATAGCTCAAATGTGGGTTTTTCACCTGGACACCACAGAAGAAGAGAACTGTTTCTCAGTTTCAATGATTTCAGTCATTTACCTGAGCTGGTTTTCTCACAATGTCTCAGTGGCTTTAAAAGTCAGACTATCTAAAAGAGTCCGACACATTGGACCTGCCTGTAACGTCACTTTTTCCTTTATATAATAATTCCTGTGGACAGATTCCTTAAAGTTGTATAACAAACATAAGTATATATAAGTCTTAATCTGCAGTCATGATAATCCCACTGGTTTTAACATGTGATATTTAATGTGAATTTTCACATTTTAACATTTGTGATTTTCTCCTCGATATATGATATTTACAGCACTTTGATAACTAGATATGGCTGAGCTAAGGCACTAGTAGAACTATTTATTGACATCTGTTTTATGTGAATGACTGACTCGAATGCAGTGATTTTCAATTTTACTTCTTGGCAGTCACATGCTCGATTTTAATGACTTTATATGTGAAAATATTGTAGCTATGCATTGCAGAGATGCAGACAAGATGTTGCATGTTGTTTTCTTTACAATAACAGTTCATGTATTTTAAAGGTGCCACGCCAAACTTTGAAAATCACTGCCTTAATGAAGTGTTACAATGAGCCATTGATCCAAACAGTTTGGATGTCCCAGGTTTCCTAAAGAGCTACTTTTGCTTCTTTGATGAAGGTCAGTTGTTAGCACAGGTTCTGATCAGTGTGTTAAATATACACTCTACCTTCCTCTAGTCCCTGATTGGCACACGTGTCATTTTTGAGGAAAGCTGTTCGTGTTTTAAACAGTTTAGGTAGCTTCTGTTAGGTGGCTGCATGATCTCGATGAGAGCAGCTCATAAAGGGAAGCTTGCCCTTGCATGATGGATCCTCCCCCTTTAGCTTTTAACTTTAACATTAATAGTTTGCCTTTGGCATCCACACTGTACTGTTTTCATCCTCTCAGTAGTTGGCCTACAGCCTTTTTACTTTTTACTTTAGGAACCAAAAGAAAATCTGTAATTTCTGCTCTGCAACCTGTGTTGTTGTGTGTGCCACAGGCTTTTCTCCATCATGAGCCTAGCTATCCCCCGAGAGTCCAAGGTATAAGGACGGAGTCTACTCTCATCTAGACTGTAGATAAGTTCATTAGTTTAGGTTAACTTCACACCATCATACAAAAATGGACGTCATAGAGCCTGTGTTTCATCCTGAAGTAAAACAAATAAGGAACAAAGATGTATCTCAGGAAAAGGATTACTGTAGAGAAGTGAAAAGGTTAAAACAACAGTTATTCAAATATGTTGCCAGATAGCTTGTAGCTAATGCCTCACCAACAACTTCCATCTATAAAATGGATGAAAGAGCTCAAGCTGAAACAAACGTTTGCACGGCCGTGTCCCCGTGCTGCTTTATAATCACCCCCAGACAAACACGCTTCTCCTGGAGTGATACAACCTGCCCAAGCTGTGTATGGCTCCACAGGTATGGAGGCGAGGGCTCCGACCACAAGATCTAGTCAATATTTTTACAGATTTTTATCGCCTGTCTTGATTCTTACAAAGAGAGATTTATCGTATTGTATTTTTGCTGCATATATTTATGAACTGAGCAGTGCTTATAAATTCTTAAAACTTTTATTTGTAAAAGGTTTATAACATATTGTGATGGTAAGATTATTGAAAACTTTCCATGTTTTTTAGAAGCTGATATTTCCTTGTGGTGTGTGCGTATGTGCACGAGTGCATACCAATCCGTCCTCCTTACACATGAGACTCACACATGAGACTCACACATGAGACTCACACATGAGACTCACACATGAGTGGCTCTGGCTCCAGAGTACGTCCACTAGTTTGGATAAAAGGTGCGTTCAAGTCAGCTCAGGATGCAGGATTTTTCTGTCACGGGGGAACAACACCAGACAGGAATGCAGCAGATTGTTATTTTAGCTGTGCTACACTGCAGTGTATTACTGAATAAACTATATTACAGTATCTCAAAATACCTAGCTAAACCTGCCACTACCTGTCACTGTGCAGCCTGAAGCTAGATCCACAGCTCAGTAGATTGTAGTAGTTTACCTTTTCTTTACCTTCTGCCCTTCCTAATATTTAAATCCTACATTTACAACTTTCTATGACAATGTTAAATTAATACTACTTTTCAAGTGCTGAAGGCGTTGTTAGATACTATAATTAGCTTTGTATCCACACCAGGTGTTACAGTTTCAACTTGAAATTGAAGGCGAAGCTTTAAGTACCTTAAAGAGAAAGATTGCTAATAGAAAAACTGAGTATTTTTCACCAGCCGCTCTGATCAGCATGCTGGTGGTCATTTTTTAAATACGACAGAGGTCCATTTTTAGGTGCTTGATTGACATGCTCCGTCTCGTGTGATTAACACACTGGCCAGTTACTAATAAACATAAGGAACTATGTTGTTCAGATTTTTCATCAGTAAATATTTTCCTTTAAATCCATGTGGCAATATTAGTGCTCAGATGTTAACAGTGCATTTGGCTAATGGTGATGTATCTCCTCCAATCAGCTTCCAGCAGTTAACCGCCTACTCCACCACACATATTCTGGCAACGTTAACCTCAACCTGAAAACATGGTGTTGACCACAAAACCATCACTGGCTTCAGTTAAGCTATAATGTAACAATAATGGCCGCAGTGAACAGCATCAGCTTTTATGCCCATCTTTATATACAGTCTTTATACACACGCTTGTGGAACAGCTAAAAGCTGGAAAAGCTTTTGACTGGAAAGCTGGAATTCTGGAATGAAAGTAGACGACTTCAATCCAAAGATAATACTGACGGGGTCTGACCCCTGACCCTGGACACGCTGTCAGTGACTCGTGGAAATGAAGCTGTAGCAACCACGCTACAAAGAAAACAGTCCTGATTTAATAAACCTGTCACAACTATTCACATTCCTCCCAAAACATTCAGTTTGCCTTACTCCAAAATATACGGTTAGGGTAGGTCTACCACCTGCGATCAGACCTTACCAGGATAATTAATACATAAGTGTTGTCCATCTAAAGACTTCAATTTTATTTATACAGCATCAGAACCACAGCACTGTAAGGTAGACGCTCCAACAATAATGTTGGATTATTCACACATTTATCAGTTATTACTGCTAGAAATGGCCTTTTGCTGACCACATGTTGGAAACTGAAATACAGAAAACAAATGCAACTAAAAATTCAACTCAAAGTGCAAAATGTACACCCCCACCCCCGATCAGAGGTCACAGAGGTCACAGAGGTCACAGACTGCACTGCTGTGTTAATGTACGCTTTGGGAATATGCTGCTTAAATCTCTGTTATGAACTCTGAGATGTGTTGGATGCACTCTGTGAGAACAGGATGACGGGTCAGCATGTTTCTGTGTTGCTGTGATACTGTATTATAACCTGGATCACACTGTACTGTGCACTCAGTGATTGAGTCCACATCCACACCTGGCTGCAGTTTTACTTTCAGTTGTTTTTGCATTTAATTTTGTTTAGTTTGGGAAATAAATTGAATTTAGATTTCAGATGTTCTTCTCAGCTGGTGCAAAGGTCCGATCTTCAGTGTGGAGTCACAGATGTTTTCCTCATGTGTTATTTATGTGTATTAGTTTGTCTGCATCCACATTCACTCATTTATTATTGCCAAATAAAGGTGTGGTGATCTTAAATAAAGCATAACTCCTGAGTGGTGCTCAGCGTTTCTTTATTCTCCATCAACCACATTCACCTACAGTGAACTGCTGCATTGTATATTTAGCTGTGCTTTCAGGAGTAATGTGCTTCAAAACAACACAAAAAGCATAGAAGAGCTAGCCTGGAGTCTGGATCTTTCCACTGTGTGTTCACAGGGTGGGACTCACCCACTCGGATCAGGAAGAAGCACATTTATTATGGGATATCACCATGGACACA